ATCGCCCCACCTGCCGGCGCAGCCAAATGCACCCCGGCACCGCATTCTGCGGCCCCGCCACGACGCACGCCGCGACGAAGCTCGCCCCTCCCGAATAAAAAGGGGCGTATGTGTGTGCACAGTGCAGGGCACACGGAAACTGCGACGCTGCTCTTCGCTTCGCATTGCACCCGCCATTCGCTTCTCCACACACATCTCCGTCTGTGTGTGTGTGGCTACGCGCGGGCATTGCCCACTCGCGGTGAAAAAAAAAGCCACCGCCTCGTTGCGGCGGCATGTTGTGCCGCAATCCGCTCAAGCGAGAAGGGGCAGAGCACATCAGGCCGCCCACCCGCAAGGAGGAGGAGGAGGAGGAGGAGGAGGAGGAGGAGGAGGAGGAGCGCCGCCGCAGTGCCCGCCATGACGCAAACACGGAGGGCGCCCAGCACGTGGGCTCCGCGAGAGGACGTTATGCCACGCGACTGCGGCCGCACGGGGCACATCCGGCGAGGGCGGCAGCAGCGACAGACGCGTCCGCTTTGTTCAGTCGTCGTGGCGTGCGCCGCTGCCGTTCCGTGCGCCGTTCAGCCGCCGACACACTTGCCCCAGCCGCGACAAACGAGGGGAAAGTGGCGGCACAGCTCCCGCGGGAAGGGCAGCGGCTTCCGCCACTTTGCGGCCACCGCGCCGCTCAGTGAGCCCCACCCAGGCACAAGCTTCTTTTTTCTTCCATTTTCGGGCCGCACGCCATTCACGCATTGCCCCTGTCTTCTGCCTCGCCCCACGCCCGCCTGTCCCGCTTAGCGTGTCGCTGCCATGCCGCGGGCTGCGCAGCTCCCTCTGCGCTTCCCTCACCACCGGGCCCCCCACCACAGCGAGCCCCTGCATGCATTCAGTGGGGGAAAACAAAACAATAATAATAACAAGTAAATGTGTCTTTCCCTCGTTTTGTCCAGTTATCTCTGGAGTTTTCGTTTGCCGGTTTGAAAACCGTCACCCCGCCCCTCTTTTCACAAGTCGCCGCCATCAGCAGCAGCAGCAGCAGCGGCCACTGTGGCATTCGACGCTGCCGCTGAAACGGGGGAAACCGCCGCGGGGCGCCGGTGAGGGCAACGACTCGCGCAGCCGAAGTTACGGCCCGCCGCCGGGTTCATCTGCGCACGAGGTGGTCGAGGGCACTTTTCATCCCGTGGACGTCGGCCAGCCGCGCATTCAGCAGCAGCGTCGGCGCGTCGCGGGCTCCTCCCCAGCACCGCCGTCCATGCCGCCCAGCCACCGCACAGGCAGCAGCATCAGGAAGAGGCACAGCAAGAGCGCAGGCGTGATGCCGCCGAGGGCGACGGAAGCCCCACTCGACACCTTCGTGTAGCTCACCACGGGGGCCTGCACGGTGAAGAAGACCAGCAGCAGGGCCGCAACGAAGTAGCCGACGCACCGGGACGAACTTGCGGCGGTACGCGGGCTCCAGGGCCCTCATCGCGGCGAGCTGCTCCTCACTCTTGCCGCGGCGCCACCACCCGTTGACGAAGTACGGCGGCAGGGCCACCGCGAGGGCCGCCACGCCGCACACCACGACGGCGTGTGCCACGATGGCGTAAATGAAGCCGGAGACGTTGTCGCCGAAGAGGCTCACGCCCACAGCGGCAAGCACGGGAGAGCCACGCCCGGTCAGCACCTTCGCAAGGGCAATGACGGGGCCGGGGATTCGCGGGGAGGCCTCCGCCAACGCCACGGCGTTGGCCACGCCCCAACGAAACCGGCGCGGGTGCTCATCACGGCGCAGCGCACGGAGAAGTTGGTCGCGTTTCCCGGGACGAATCCGTCGAACGTCAAGCCAAGCAGCAGCGCCCCCGAGCCCGCCTGTGACATGGCAGACGCGCATCGGGGGAAAAGGGCCGGCGCAGCCGTACAGGAAGCCGCACGGCAGCGTGAAGTCGCGGAACACCCGCCCCACACCGCGCTGATCGCGGCCTGGTCGCCGACGCCGAGGCGCAGTCGCTCCACGAACTGCGTCGGTGGCAGGCCAAAGGCGTCGGCGAGGGAGGCGCAAACGCCGCAGAGCAGGCAGCACACAAGCAGGCGGAAGCGCCGCATCTCGTCCACGGCGGGCAGCCCGG